CTCAGCCAGAGGTCTCTCTCTGAGAAACGCACCATCGAGAGAGCTCTTACTCCCACATTTTGAATAATAAGCCGCTTCGGTTCCTCTTCTCTCACCCTTTGGTCAAAGCTCAAGGAGCTGCTAGAGGATCATGGCCGATCTCCCGGTACTACGGAGGGGTGGGGCTGGTTTTTTTTGGCCACCGTGAAGAAACTCCCTCGAGGACGGAGGACGGAGGAGGGTGACCCTCCACGCCGCCGTTCGCTGCTCACAAGGCTTTCTCCTCCTAAAGTTCTTGGGGCCCTGTGTAAGCAAACCTCCCCGCGCGCCTTTCCTTTTATCCTCCTGCTCTTCAAGTGACTTCCCTCCCCCCCTCCCGCCTGCCTTTCTTTTCTCGTCCCTTTCTTTTTCCTGCCCTTTCCCCGGGACTCCAATCCACTAGCGATCAGTGACCAATTTGTTTCAGAAGAAATCTACCCTGCCATGTTCTCCCTGGATCTGACGTAATGGATGCTTCTTCCTCTTCCTTCTTCATGGAAGTCTTCTCTCATATCCTCTCAGTGTGTTCTCTGATCTGTCCTGGGCTTCCCTCCTCCCTAGTGGGTATCCCGCTCACCTATCAAGCAAATACAGCCTTTGGTTTCCTGAAGAGGGGGGAAGGGGGCATCCTTCATGGCATTGCACCACAAAAGTGTTGGGGGCCAAAGGAAGCTCATATTCACAAATGGGGAAACCCTGTGGGTTAGGGGAGAAGTATTTTGGTTTATGAAACACTTTCACGCATCCCCTCATTCTTTACCAAGAATTCTTTAGATACCCCACATCACTTATTTCACATTTGCACACAATAACTGTACACTTCTGGAGTAAACTGAAACATCAAAATGTTCACACTGAAACCTGAAACAAAATACTGTATTCACATTACATGTATATAAATATAAATATTCTTTGACCATGAATTTCCCATATTTTTAAAACTTCAATTATTTTAAAGGTTATTTTCCTCCTTTACTTGCTTTTGATGACTGAGCCTATTTAGGTTTGTATTGCATGGCTAAAATCCTTTTAAAAATGTACAAATAATCCTTATTGATTTTAGCAGGTGTGTACTGTCAAGTCACACCAGACTGATAGCCATCCTAATAGTGTTTTCAAGGTGAGATATTTAAAGAGTAGTTTTATCAGTGCCACCTCTACCCCCAAGTGCGTTTCCATGACTGAGTAGGAATTTGAACTCAGGCCTCCTGATTTATAAACAAACATAGAATTCGCATCCCTGTATATACAAGTTGCCCCATCAGCATGAAATGTGTATGTAGAAAGGACTCTGAAGTATCAACTTTCTTCTTTTGCAGGGCACAGATATGAACAAAGATACATTATTCTCCCCAAATCAATATCCATCTGGCCCTCTTTGGCATCCTTTCTCAGGCTGGTAATCTCTGGGCATGCTGGACTACAGCCTCCAGTCCCCTCACTCTGGGACTGGGAGGTGGTTTTCTGTCTGGTGTGGAGGACAGCAGGATGGAGAAGGCTGTTTTACAGTCTACAGTAGATGCAAGTTACTGCTATTAGTATACTAGATTTAGATCACCTTTAGTCTCTCTTGTCTAATAATTATAGGGGCTCTATAATACAAAGGCTGAACTTATTCTGGAGCATTAGGAGCTTTCCTTGTGCCCCAGAATTGAGGCCCAGATAGAACACCGCTGGGCCATGACAACCGGAGATTTGAACAATTCTACTGGCTTTATGAGTTTGATCTAGTGAACCTCCTTTTCGCGCCATGTTGTCCTGACCTGCCTGGAGCCAGTGAAGGCCAGAAGGTTTCAAATGCACTGAAACCTGCCTGAAGTCTTGGGTGATGCTCATATGGTTTCTGAGATGGCTAGCTTGGAGGTTGCCACCTTTTCTCAATTCAAGTGGGATTTTGAGTCTACAAAATATTCCATTCGATCATGAACACCTACCTGGATTTTATTTCAGAAACATGATGCATCAAAACATGCCTGTCAACCTGTGCACAATGGGAGAAACATTTTTAAACTAAGAAAAATGGGTGAGAAATACTGTACTAATGTTTTGTCCTGAAGCTATTATACTTGGGACACAAAAGACAGAAGTCACTGGAAAATGCAATAATGCTAGGAAAAATGAAAGGCACTGTAAAAGAGGAAGACCAAATGTAAGATGCATTGACTCAATAAAAGGTACCATTGACTTTAGTTTGTACGACCTAAATTGATAGGACCATTTGAAGCCACTAAGGTTGTCATAGATTGACAGCAACATGATGGTGCATAGTGCTTCCAGGTCCTAAGAACTGCAAATTTTGGGGTGTGAGGGACAGAAATGGAAAAGTTCAGAAGTCACCCTGGTCAAATGCTGAAACCTCAGAATCTGTATTTTTTTAAATTCAATTTAAAAAACATGATGTGTATACTAAATTAGCTTTTCTAATTCATTATAACAATTGTATGTTATACGCTGTATATAAATGGAAATCTCTGTGTCCCCCATCTGTACCACATTTGCAACCATGCCATCATTACTCATTATTCTCCAGCTATCCCCTGCCATTAAGCATTAGACAAATTGGCAGCTTCTAAATAGATAAACCTAATGGCTGGACGATAGCTGGATGGCTTGGTGAGATTTGATGAAATAAGATTTGATAAACTAAAGATTTGTGGAAGCTTTTCTTCCACACCAAGAATTACAGGGTGCTGAGAAGAGATGGTATACTATGCCATACTTTTGTCCCTCTGTAAACACCAGCCTAGACACGGAACTACATGAACAAATCCCACGATTTACTAAAAAGCTGTGTTTTATTGATGGATGGCTATAAGCTATTTCAAAGCATCAAAATGGAATCTACACTGATGAAATAACGAGATACCTGAACACCTCAGCTATAGTAGAAATAAGAGATGTGCTGTCATCCCGGACATATGTACTTGAGACCAAAGAGAACCACTGGAATCCATAAGGCTTACTTGCAAGTCAGCCTGGAGAGGACCAAGCTACATAAGTAATTTCTCATCAGCAAATACTGTCCTGCCTCCCCCAGGAAGGAAAGGTAAGAGGGGAACTCCAAGTTTGAGTTTGTAAGCCTTTAATATTGCAACTGCCTCCAGAGTGTTTGTGATAGGGAACTGTGTCATGACATCCTCCTCCACATAAAAAAACAAAACAAGACCAAGCCTAGAACTGGCATCATCACTGACCACTATGGTTTTTAGTCCTAGACATCTGGAGAGAGCCAGGTTGGGAAAAGACAGGTCTGCGTAAGGACACCGACTGGTAAAAATTGCCTGATTTAGTAGAGGGGGTTTAGGGTTAGGGTTAGCGGCCTTGGGTTCTTTTTAAGTAGAAAGGCGGGATAAAACTAACTAACTAACTAACTAACTAACTAACTAACTAACTAACTAACTAACTAACTAACTAACTAACTAACTAACTAACTAACTAACTAACTAACTAACTAACTAACTAGGGTTTCTCATGTGTCGCTCTCAGGATTGACCAGGGTCCTGAATGGTCTGCTTTGGCTCAGCTCAGTGGAATACAAGAAGTCCACCTTCACATCCTGTCAAAATCCTGATCCTTCCTTGGTGTTGGAAACCCAGGAAGAGGTGAGGGGAAGGAGGGGGCCACACAGCGCTGCCTTCCTTGCCACCGAGGAGGAGCACCGTGTCTCCCTTCTGAAATCAAGGGCTTCGGGTTCAGCTCACCTGGCCCTGCTGAGCCCAGAGGGGTCTCGACACTGTCTTGTTACTTGCAAGGGCACTTTGCACATGCTCCAAGGCAACCTCTTTTTCACTCCAATCCTTTCTGGTAGCTTTTATTGTTAAGCCCTAGCAAAGCCTCCCCACCACCGCCGCCGGCGCCAAATAGCCTGTGAACAGGCTCCTGGTAGGGACAGTGGCGGCCGGGTTCCCCTCATACCGCCGCCGGCGCCTGTGAACCGGCTCCTGGCAGGGACAGTGGCGGCCGGGTTCCCCTCATGGTCACAGGCAGGGGTGGTGGGAAGGAGGGAGCCGGCTGGGCCTGGCCTGAGGTGAGGCCGCGCCCGTTTTCTTCCGAGGGGTTGAGTCTCCACGAGCCTTCGGGGCCCTCTTTTCGTGGGTCCCCGAGCCTTTCGGGGAAGAGCCCTTGGCTCGCCTGATGGCTCCCCTTCGTGGGAAGGGCAGGGCTGGGGCCACTCTGCACATGCTCCCGGGCACTCCCGTTCTTCTCTCACAGTCTCCTCCGAGAACGGGAGGCCTCGCCATCGTTCGGTGTGGTGGGCTCAGAGGAAGCCCGAACAGCGCGTTCCCTTTCTCTCTCTCTCTCTCTCTCTTTCCCTCCGCTCCAACTTCGCAGGCCTCCCCTTTTCCTCCCCTCCCGCCCGTCTCGGGATTGCCGGTGGCTGGGCGTGTGCCTCGGAGCCTCTCACTGCCGGCTTCACAGGGGGAGGTGCAGGGGGAAGGGGAGAGATTTATTGGCAGCTGCCGCCCACCAAAGCATGCTCAGATTCAGCCGCCGCCTCTATGAGCCGTGCTCTGCCCAGAGCCCGGAGGGCAGGCGTCTCGGCCAGGGCTCGGCAACTCTCTCCAGCTTCTTCCGCCACCTGACACGGAGGTTGCTTGCCATCCTTTCTGCAGCCGCCCAGGAACCTCCACTGCCGCCACCACCTTGGCGAGCACCGGCCCTTGGCTACCTGAGGTGTGGGAGTTCCCCCTCCTCCACCACCCCTCTGGGATTGCTTCCTCTTCTCCTCCCAGTGGCCGCAGCGGCCGCGCCCTCCTCCCCTCCCCTCCTTTTCCTGCCCCTCCCTGCTCTCACCTACCCTCCCCTTTGTGGCGCACGTCAGGTTTGGGGCGCGCTCCAGCCAAGCCGGAGAAGCGGGAAGCGCTACCTCATCAGCCAGCCAGCCAGCCAGCCGTGCGGGAGAGGGAGAGAAAGAGGGAGAGAGAGAAAGAGAGAGAGAGAGAGGAGCCCTGGCGCCCGGGCGGGCGGCAGCTGCTGAGGAAGAGCGAGCACCATGCCCGTCCGCCGAGGCCATGTGGCGCCGCAGAATACCTTCCTGGGCACCATCATCCGCAAATTCGAAGGGCAAAGTAAGTTCGCGCGCCCGGCCTCCCCCCCTCCCCTTTCCCCCCCCCCAGAGGGGACCCCCCGCGCGCCACCCCCCCCCCCCCCCGCCCCCTTTCGTTCCC